AGCCACTGAATGTAATTATTGTGGCCATGCTTGCATTGTCTGCAAGTGTGGGAGCGCTAAATTAAGTTAATTCACTGGCGCGTTCGGAAAGTGATGTTGGATAAGAGAAGGAAGATCTTATTTAACAAGTAGTATCGTAGTTAATAAAGGTACAATAGAAACTGGATTTTGTCGAACTTGGTGACAAATATAAGCTTGTCAACCACAAATAAGATATTAACATAAATGTCAAGTTTAAGCCTATATTATAAGGATAACTTCAGAAAAAAGTTTAGATTAAAAAAAAATTTTTTTTTGATTGCTAGTAATTGTACAATTGAAACTAGGCTTAATTGAGATTTGTAATCATTTAAAGTAAAACTTATGGTAAGATATTAACATAAATTTCACATTGAAGCCTATATGGGATAACTTCAAAAAATTTGGAGCCTAGGAAGATATCGTAGTTATTAACAGTATAATTTAAACTAGGTTAAATTGAGATTAGTGATCATTATAAGTGAAATTTATATGTAGTATGTTGTATAAGTAATTGTTATAAGTTATATAAGCAAAACAACTAACATAAATGTGACATTGAAGCCTACATTAGAACAACATCACATCAAAGGTTCGGCTAAAAAAAATTGAAACCAAAGAAGAACTTATTTAACAAAAAGCACATCAGTTGATAAGAGCACAGCAGAAGCTAGACTTACCGAGATATGCAACAAAAATATGTTTCCGCAAAATATTGAAACAATTTTGAAGCCTACATTTAGATACCAACTACATATGAAAGATTTGACTATAAAAATAAATTGACTATGATATCGTAGTTATTAACAGTATAATTGAAACTAGGCTTAATTGAGATTTGTGATCATTATAAGTAAAGCTTATGTTGTATAAGTAATTTTTATGTGTTATATAAGTAAAAAAACTAAAAGCAAGATATTAACATAAATGTGACATTAGAACAACATCACAACATAGATTTGGCTCTAAAAAAATTAATACCAAGAAAGAACTTATTTAATAAAAAGCCCATCAGTTGATAAGAGCACAGCAGAAGCTAGACTTAACCGAGATATGCAACAAAAATATGTCTCCACCAGAAGATATTGAAACAAATATTTATAGATTCAAAGATAAAATTTAGATACTAACTACATATGAAAGATTTGACTATGAAAGCTGCAGTTAAATAAAACAAATAGTAAGATAGAAAAGAAACTGAGTCGATATAACACATTTCAACCAAGAAACTTACCGAAATTTGTGACAAATCTTAAATTGTCAGCTAAACACAAGATATTATAATTAGTTTCAAAACACAAGATATTATAATTAATTTCCAAACACAAGATATTAAAATTAATTTCCTATAAAAGCCAGCATTTAGATAATAACATTCACAAAAATATTATTTAAGATTATCGTAGTTAATAAAAGAACGAATAAAACTTAGCAGGAGATTTGAGCTTATATATATTCGACAGCAAAAAATAAAACATTGAATTGCACACTGAAGCCTAAATTACGACAATAACTTTGCACAAAAATTTTGGCCAAAAAAATTAAGTGTTTTAAAACGAAATAACTAAAACAAGATTTCTTTTCAAGATATGGGCATAACATTTCAAATCGTAATGCATATTAAATTTAGCGAACTATTATTTTCACCTTCATTTTAAAACTTAAAATTTAAAAAAAAAATTTTAAATTATTAATAAATAAAATTCGTAGTGAGAAATGATATCGAGAATTATAAGTGTTTGAATGTCCCATATTCAAGTCTCCATGCATTGGCAAATAACCACAAATTTGTAAATCACAGAGCTATAACCACTAAAAAAATTATCTTTTTGAATTGGAATTAGGGTAATGATTGAAAATAATTTTAATATTATCTTCAACGAATAACAAAATATTATGAAGGCTCCAAATTGGATATAAGTTTGAATAATTAACTTATCAACACTTAAGTGGGCATTTGTGCTCCGTGTTGAAAGAAAAAAATTAACAGCAATATATTTAATTATAGCAAGATGCGCTATCAAATCACAAGCTAATCAGTTAAATTAGCAATGAAATAAAAAAATGTTTCTTTTCAAATTAATTATAAGATGAAGGTTTCTATAATTACTCTTTATCAAAGTACATAAGAACATAATGAAAATATTCAAGAATATTCGATCTAATTTTTTTTTTTTTTTAAATTCTGTGACAAAATTCGTAGAAACTATATACTACTGCTTAGATGGAGCGAGACAACACAGTTCTTTAATACTAGTTCAATGTCAACCACGCCTCTCTACACGGTGAAGGACATGAAAAACGAATAAAATGAGTGAAAAGTAGATTTGCATAAACAAATAGATAATAAATTCTATAAATAAAACGCTAACTGATTACACTATAAAGATTAAATGTTAGTTTTAAACTCTTTACAGAGGTTTTTTTTTTAATTTTACATTGATATATGCGGTAGACGAGTTTAACTTCAAAGTGAATATTTTTAGACAAAGGCAGGAATGGGCAAACTTTTTTGGTCGTGGGCCATAACTCTAGAAAAAAAAAAGTTTGGTGGGCCTAGTAAAAACTTCTAAAATAAAAATTCTAACTTCGGAAATAAAATAAAGTCAATTCATCATTGAACGCATGGCACTCTACATCAACTTTGCGTGTTTTTAGTGGCCATTTTGGGGTTAAAATTTTTTTACAAATAACTCAAAAAAGCAGTAGCCATTTTATACATTTAATAATTTCACCATTATTTACAATGACGTTGTATGTGTGCAATCTTTCCATACGCAGTAAATAATGTTAGAACTCGCCCCGGCAGAAAAACTCGCTCGTTGGAACTTAAAAATGTGTTGTCTGCCTCATGTGAAGTACAATTCACCTATATTAGATTCCATATGTCAGCTCCTCGAGAAAGACAAACACTAGTTGGAGCTAATCTACGGCTATTCTATAAGGAACTTCTGCTTTCAACATTTTACCAATTGAAGCTGTCTGTGCTAACTATTTCAATCAATTTATGTCTTGTCGAACAAAAATAGAGAAAGTAAAAAGGTCATCAGTACTTTGTTAAAAAAGAAAGAACAAAAATAGCTTTAAACAAAGTAGACAAGAAAATGAACGTATAATGTATATTGTTTATATTCGCCACGGATCGGCAAGTTAAAATTCTGTCCGCGGGCCGGATAAAACCCTCCGGCGGGCCACAGTTGGCCCGCGGGCCGTAGTTTCCCCATCCCTGGACAAAGGACTATAAACGCGTCAGAGTTTCTTTGTTCTAAAAATACCAACTTATGTCAAGAAAATGCCGAATTTGTATATAGTGGATGTTAGGTATTTTGAAGTAATCAACCTGAAGCAAAAGTTTTAAACTTAAGGAGTTGTTTGGAACAATGATTTTATACTACGTTAATTTTAACTTTAAATGATTTTTTATTTATTAATGTTTCATTGGGGTTCCATAGGGGACAACCTGTAGTGTGCTTTTCGTAGTATTACACGATGCTTTTCAATTTCTTTGTTTTGTAATTGAGGGAGTAGTTTTTCGTAGTTAAATAAAATTTTCAAAATGAAACATTAAAATTAGTATTAAAATTTTTTTTTTCTAAACAAAGTAAATAAATCAAAAAAAAAAAAAAAAAAAAAAAAAAAAAAAAAAAAAAAAAAAAAAAAAAATTAAATCGAATTTACTGAATGGACACATAAGGTTGTCTACAATGTGTAAAAATACGTTATTTAAAATAAAAGGGTTTTAGATCTTTTTTTTTAATGTATAAGGAAATTAAAGTTATTTAATAAAGCGGTAAAATTAATTATTGTAAGATTGGAATACATTTGTAACAATTTATAGATATCTGCTGTAGAACATACTAAACTTATACTTCATTCATGCTACGTACCTCTCACTTTATCAATAACACAATCTTAAGAAAAATCAGTCGTAGTTATATTTTAGATTTTTTGTAGAGTTAAATAAATTAATTTAGTTACTTGCTGATACACAATCTTAGGTAAAGTACACATGAGGGCGTTAGACGCCGCGTTGAGCGCGCGTTGGCAAATTGTGAAACCGTACACATGAGGGCGTTGGACGCCGAGTCGAGTGCACGTTGGCTGACATCGCAAGACACGGCATCCGGCAGTTGGATTAGCGTACTCAGTGCGAACACATGGAGTTAGAGGAGTTTACCTGTTTTTGGTTATTGTACCGTAGATACAAGGCTCGGCAAAGAAGACAAAGACGATGGTGGGTTCATCCCCTAATAGATGACCGGTTAACCATGGGTTCATTTGTGACGCTATACCCAAAATTAAGGGAATACCCCAACAAGTTTTTCAACTACTTCCGTATGAGTATAAGTATGAGTATGAGTTTCAACTGTTCTTCTGGCAGTGTGTGATGCAAACTATTGCTTTCTTTATGTTAATGTAGGGTCTTATGGCAAAAGTAATGACTCCACAATTTTCCAAGAATCATTGTTTTACAAACACTTATCTGAAGAAACGTTAAACGTCCCAGCACCTAAACCAATAACAGCATTAGATAACACTAGTTTACCTTACGTATTTCTTGGGGATGATGCTTTTGGTCTATCTAAAAACATCATGTGTCCTTACGTAGGAAAGCAGCTTCCCCATGTTAAAAAAATCTTTAACTATAGACTTTCAAGGGCTCGCCGCTACATAGAATGC